TATCTGACAGTATATCGTATTATTTTGTTTTCATGCCCAAAGATTTTAAAATTCAGCGAAGTACAAGGTTTTAGAAGATGACCTGGTTATTTCATTTCGCATTGGTTACTGTAAAACCGGCCTGAATAAAACATTTCCATAGCTACCCATGTTGCTGGTGATCTGAGAAACACTTCTGAAATTGAAACCTCCTTAAGTTTGTCTCTCAAACTCTTTATAATCCAGTTTTAAATTTTTTTTCTCAGTAGTAGAAATTCTCAATGTCGGTTACTGTAAAAGGAGCCTTAATATTCACTCCAATACATGACGGCGTATCCTGTATTTTTAAGCACATCTAATTCTTGATCTAGACTATCTTTTAATAGCTGCAATATTTCTAAGCACAATTTTGAGGCACAAAGAGCAGATAAGTCACTAAATTTATTAAACAATTAATTTTTTGTGCATGGGGTGGAGGGGGAATTGGACCTAGTGTAAAATATTGCTTATCAATTATAATCTCTTATTTTTCTCACTGATGTTTTTTTCCTATTCGTAAACATCATCATCCTAAACCGCCTCTTTTAATCTTCTTATATGTATATGTATATATATATATATGTTTTTTTTTCAAAAAAGTCGTCATCGTTGCCCTTTGCCTTGGCGAACTGTATGAATCAGTCTTGTCGTCAATAATACCATGATATTAATGCTGGTTCTCGTGACATTTAAAGCTCCGATTGTTGCTAGCATGGTGTTACAATGCCGATTGTACTATGTGCGAGCTTTTCACTCGTATTACCCAGATGTATTCGCTTTTTGCACTTTGGGTGGAGTTCTGTATGCTGTTGTTTCGGCTTAATTGCAGAGAAATTTGATTTGCATATCCAAGCCATTAAACAAGCGCTAAATTTAGCTCTGGAACTTGTAGCCTAGCTTACATCTTCATATTACAATCTATTATACCTCCCTGCAAAGTTTATCTCTCCCTTTAAAGTTCATCTTCCAACAGGTGAGAGCATTAACCCAATTTTTCTCCCATTCCAGGACATCTATACGGAACACCTCGACCGGAGGAGTGTTATGAGGGTACAGCGATGGTGAGCAGCGCTAATAAAGGACCATTGCCACCAAATTGGGAAATTGGCTACGCTGAGAACGGTGACAAGTATTTCATCGAGTGAGTTTTTTTTGGTTTTTCGTGGATTTCAAACTATTTAGGAATAAATAAGTTTATAAGAAGTCAAGAGGCCTGGCTGCGAAAAGAAATTTCAAGAATAAACTTTTTTCATTAAAAAAATGCCAAAAAACACCCGGTTAAAGAGGAATTTTATCATTTTATTAAACTTTTATTCCCTTCCCAAGTCGAAAACTGCTATTTCCACCTTAAGGAAAAAGTTTCCTTCCGTCCAAATTACCCATCCTCCAGATTTCCTACCTATTTATCATCTATACATCCATACAATTTAAATTTTCCTAACGGTACAAATTACAGCCATAATTCGGGCACAACAACATGGGATGACCCAAGGGATTTGCCGCCTGGATGGGAACAAGTCGACGATCCTGAATACGGCACATTTTTCGTTGAGTGAGTACCTTTTACCTTGGGTAATCTGATGAGTATCCATCCTATGAAATTTCCTTGAATTCTTCATTCATGCCATTCCACTTTTGAAAGCGTTGGTGAAATATTTCTCCTTCGAGGGCCAAAATGTTTTTGTGTGAGATATGGGAGCAATTTGTTGTCCTCGGGACGTTAGCCCAGTGCCGCCATGACAGATAATTAATGTCAAAGGAGAGTTACCATCTAAACCACGCTTAAAGCTTAACTGAGGTTCTATCTAAGCTAACGCAAGAATTTTTGATGTTTTGGTCACTTCCTTTATTTTTTCTTAGTGTTGTATGTAATCTCACATGTAGATGGACTCTGTTGAAGTGTTTGTTCAGATATCAGACAGACATTTGCATCATTTGGGTTTTTTAAACTTGAAGGAAAAATTGCATTTCTGTTGTAAAGTCGGAAAAAAGTTATACATTTGGCATTGTAGGGAAATTTGATGCTTACTTTCCCTCCAGCGTATGAATCTTGAGTACTTGTACCTTACTCTTCATTCGAAAAAAGTTGATTTCATGTATTCTTAGATTGGTACGAATGGGACCGAGAATCTCGAAAAATGTTCTTTAAATGATCTCTACTACATTTCAAGAAACTGCAAAATAAAGTTGAATCTTTGAAAGAAAAACCTGCAAAAAGAAAAGAGGAATTTTCTTTCCACCTTTCCACTTTTTAACTTTACATGGATTCCAAGCAATGCTGTTTTAACTTGAGCTGCCTGACACAAACTTTTGTATTTCACTCCTCTTACTTCCCTAATTGAAACATACAAATTAAAGCGCCTTTCGTCGAACACCATTTTGTGCACAAAGAATCAATTCATAAGAAAAAAAGTTTTGTTCAGCTAAGAATTTGAAAAGCTCCAAAAACAGGATTTTGGAACAGGAGTGGCTTGATTTTTGCAGTTTTTAGTAGCGTTACAAAGAATTATCTATTGTAAACTAGTAAGCTTTTCATCTGCTTGCCTAAACAAAAAATAAGTTTAGACTTTATCAAGCCATCAATACAAATGCAAGTAACATGCAGATGAAACAATCTCAGATAAACTTGCTTATTAATCTGAAACCCCCTTGGAACACATTTCTCTAAAATCATGAAATTGAGTTTTTGGAAGGATCTTCGGCATATTTTTTTTTGATTAATATGCTTAGA